TAAGAATCGTTTAAGGTATTAATATTATTATACTTAAATTGTATTTAAATTCTTTTTGGTCCAAAACAAAAGCCTTGTCCATGTTGTATAGACCTATAAAATTCTAACTCGGGCTCAAGTTTTTATAGAGTTTAACAAGTTCGAGTTTGACTCGTTCACCAATACTATCGAATCAAACTTGAGCCTTAACTAAACGAATTTTAAATGAGCTCAAAATCAAGATTTGCTCGAGCCTTAATAAGCCAAACGGAGTTCACGAGCAGCTCATTTCGTTTAGCAAATTTTTTGTTATAAAAATTATACGATTTATTTTCTCTTAATTTATTTTCTTACAATTTCCAATGGATACTGACGATGTGACTCTTTTCTTATTTCGATCTGGAGAGCAGTTTTACATGCAGAATTTCACGACCAAAATAGTTAATATGATGAAGTCAAATAAATTGTATGCCTCACAAGGAGGTCCTATTATACTTTCTCAGGTAGATTTTTTATTTTTTATTTTTCACTATCTTTTATTTAATTTAATTTTATAATCATTCGTATCTTTCTTTTAATTTTTCTCATTTAGGATCATTTAAGGCTTGATTGTTTATGAATTATTTCATTCCCATTTATTTCATACTCAAAATCTAACTCAACTTTAATTCAACCCCACTATTTTTAATATTATTCATATAACTAAATAATACAAACCAATCATTCTTACACTTCAAATCATTTCAATTCACTATTCATCCACTCACATCATTTTAATTACCAATCATTTCTAATCATTTATCTCCTACTTTTACATCAAATCAATTTTAATTATTTTATTTTAAATATTATTATAATACATTCTTAAAATTCCACTAACAACTAACCATACCACCTTTTTCAAAATTAACTATGGTTAGCCAAAATAATTCATTTTGAACAAATTATTTCATAAACAATCACCCCCTTAATCTTTCGTTTGCAGATTGAGAACGAGTACCAAAATGTAGAAAGGAGCTTCGGCAGAAATGGGCCACGATATGTCCGTTGGGCCGCTGCAATGGCCGTGGGCCTTAAGACTGGTGTCCCATGGGTTATGTGCAAGCAAAACGATGCTCCTGATCCTGTGGTAAGAAAACCCCAGCCCAACTATTAGGCCCATTTACAATAATAAGTTTCGGTACAAATCCACAAACGAATGGTGCTCGTAGCCCATTACCTCCTAATAATAATAATAATAATAATAATAATAATAATAATAATAATAATAATAATAATAATAATAATAATAATTGCAGAATAATTTTAAAAATAATTCATTAAGATAATATTAACTTGTATTAACCATACCGTAACTATTGGAATTCTGCAGATCAACGCATGCAATGGATTTAGGTGTGGGGAGACATTTGTGGGCCCAAATTCAGCAAAAAAACCAGCAATTTGGACAGAAAACTGGACACACTTGTGAGAACATTTCAATTTTCAATAAATAAATAAAAACAAACAAATTCATGTTTATTTCCCTCACATTCTTGCAATGAAACGTATGTATGTAACAAATTTCTATTTTTTCTCAGCTATGACTTATATGGCAGCATCACTAAAATCAGAGCAGTTGAGGACATTGCATATCAGGTTGCTCTATTCATAGTCAAAATGAATGGCAGCTTCATAAACTATTACATGGTACGATACCGTTCGCCAAAAACATTTAAAACGAACATGATTTTAATTGCACACGAAAGTAAAAAGGAAAGGATTAAACATCAAGTTTATCACAAGTTTTTAAAGAAGCACTTGTGATTTGAAATAATTCTGGTTTTTTTTTTTTTTTTTTTTTTTTTTTGNGTATCATGGAGGAACGAATTTCGGTCACACAGCCTCTGCATTTGTAATAACCAGTTATTACGATCAAGCCCCCTTGGATGAATATGGTGACTATACTGCACATATTAAATAAATAAATAAAAAATAAAAAAAATCTAAGAACGAAAAAATGTACCTTCGAACTTCGAAAACCTACAGGTCTAATAAGGCAGCCAAAGTGGGGTCATCTCCAGGAACTACATGCAGCAGTGAAGCTTTGCTCACAGACTTTACTTTACGGATCACGAATTATAATCTCTTTAGGTCCACAACAAGAAGTAAGATTTCTTTAGAACTCCAAATATTCCACAAAATTCATGAAAAAAAAAAAAAAGTCATTTTGGTTGATGTTTGTTTACAGGCCTATGTTTATTCAAGAAAGAAAGGAGAATGTGCAGCATTTTTGGTCAACACGAACAGTAGACATAATGCAGATGTTCAATTTCGAAATCGAACATATCAAATTCCACGCCATTCGATCAGTATATTGCCAGACTGCAAAACTGTTGTGTTTAACACAGCCAAGGTATGTAAATATGGATAAATATATATAGAAAAAGTAATCCCTGAGATTTTTTGCCTAATAATTACACACAACTGAATAAACAAATAAAATACATTTTTATAGTTTAATTATATCAATTAAGTAAAAGTTTGTGATAGATTTTGTAATGTTCGGAGCATTTTTCAACAGGTAAGCGCCCGAAATAATAACACAAGAACAAGGCAACCAGTGGTGAAGTTAGACTCACCACAAAAATGGGAAGAATATGATGAAGTTATTCCAGTATTCGACGATACTTCTCTGAGGTCACATTTGTTGTTAGAACAGATGAAAACTACAAAAGACAAAACGGATTATCTATGGTACACTGCAAGGTGAGTTATTATGCACCGAATCATCAAACTTTCAAATTGTTTGTTTAAAGAAAGTAAAAGCTATAATTTAAAGAGAGATCAATTATATTTGTAATATCATAATCAATGTTCTCTGCTACTAACACATCAAGATACCAATTGCAGTTATCAGCAGGATAAGCAATCACAAGCCGTGATTAATGTCACATCTCGTGGGCATGTTTTGCGTGCATTTGTCAATGGAGCACTTATTGGTAAGATAACCCTTGAGTACAATTAAGTCAAATATTGCACAGACCAAATTTTTGTTGTTTAGTTCAATTTTGGACCTAAGAGATTTGAATGTCTGGATTTCAAGTACTTTGTTTTTATGTTTGATTTGTATGCTAAACTTCCTAAGTTACTTTCTGTCCCTTCAAGCTGTTCTTTTATTAACCCTTTTATTCATCATCCGGTAAAATGATGGTCCTTAAAGCAAAAAAACCACAA